CAGTACTGTAATACCTAACTAAATGCTTGTGTTTCTAGCTCCAACAGTACAGTAATACCTAACTAAATGCTTGTGTTTCTAGCTCCAACAGTACTGTAATACCTAACTAAATGCTTGTGTTTCTAGCTCCAACAGTACTGTAATACCTAACTAAATGCTTGTGTTACTAGCTCCAACAGTACAGTTAATACTAACTAAATGCTTGTGTTTCTAGCTCCAACAGTACTGTAATACCTAACTAAATGCTTGTGTTTCTAGCTCCAACAGTACAGTAATACTAACTAAATGCTTGTGTTTCTAGCTCCAACAGTACAGTAATACCTAACTAAATGCTTGTGTTTCTAGCTCCAACAGTACTGTAATACCTAACTAAATGCTTGTGTTTCTAGCTCCAACAGTACTGTAATACCTAACTAAATGCTTGGTTTCTAGCTCCAACAGTTACAGTAATACCTAACTAAATGCTTGTGTTTCTAGCTCCAACAGTACAGTAATACTAACTAAATGCTGTGTTCAGCTCCAAAGTAAAGTACATACCTAACTAAATGCTTGGTTCTAGCTCCAACAGTACTGTAATACCTAACAATACACACATAATCCAAAAAATACAAAGAAACAATGAATAAATATAATAGTTATAATAACATAAAACAATAATAATAATAATAATAATAATACATCTACTGGTATAGCTGTCATATACTGTATATTCAGGGCAAAGTTACTGACTACAGAGGTAGCAATAGAGAGGATAGAGAGAAGACGGTGAGAGAGTACTATCTCTCATATCCTACTCTCTCCACCTATCATCTCCATCTACTCTACCTTCCCTCTCTCTCTCTATAGCTTCATATATCCTATCGATATGAGTCTATGCAGTAATCTAACTAATCTCTCTGTCAATAGAAATCTAACATATATTTGTAATTCAATATCATCAATATCATTTGTCCTTTATCTCTCTCAATCCCTTCATGCCGCTCTCTAATCAATAGCCCTACACTCTCTCTCTCTCCCTCTCCCCACCATGATTTGATAAGTTGTCAATGATATCAATATCATGTCGATGTCATATGAGGCGTTATAACTAATTCATGATGTCAATATCATATCAATGTCATATGAGGCATTATTAGTTATTAATTATATCAATATCATATCAATGTCATATGAGGCTTTATGTATCACTTTATATTGTTACAATATTGCAATGTTTCCCCAAAAGGAACCCTCACAAAATATATAATACAGGCTATATAAAGACAATGAAACCCTATTCACCTCAATAGGGTGGCAGGTAAGCGGTACCGGAGCGCCAAGTCTAGGTCCAAAAGGCTTCTCAACAGCTTCTACCCCCAAGCCATAAGACTCCTGAACAGCTAATCATGGCTACCCGGACTATTTGCACTGCCCCCCCACCCCATCATTTTACTCTGCTGCTACTCTGTTTATTATCTATGCATAGTCACTTTAACTCTACCCACATGTACATATTACCTCAACTACCTCAACTAGCCGGTGCCCCCGCACATTGACTCTGCACCGGTACCCCCTGTACATATAGCCTCCCTATTGTTATTTTATTTTACTGCTGCTCTTCAGTTATTTGCTTTTATTTTTTTTGCTTAACACTTTTTTTTATTTGTTTTACTTTGCATTGTTGGTTAAGGGCTTGTAAGTAAGCATTTCACTGTAATGTCTACACTTGTTGTATTCGGTGCATGTGGCAAATAAAATTTGATTTGATTTGATTTGAGGTAGCCTAGCGGTTAACAGTGTTGGGCCAGTAACAGAAAGGTCACTACATAAAGACAATGAAACCCTATTCACACACACAGAGGGACGACACAGAAGGACACAGAGGGACACAGAGACAGAGGGACACGGAGGGACACAGAAGGACACAGAGACAGAGGGACACAGAGACAGAGGGAAACAGAGGGACACAGAGACAGAGGGACACAGAGACAGAGGGACACAGAGGGACACAGAGGGACACAGACACAGAGGGACGACACAGAAGGCCACAGAGGGACACAGAGACAGAGGGACACAGAGACAGAGGGACACGGAGGGACACAGAGGGACACAGACACAGAGGGACGACACAGAAGGCCACAGAGGGACACAGAGACAGAGGGACACGGAGGGACACAGAAGGACACAGAGACAGAGGGACACAGAGACAGAGGGACACAGAGGGACACAGAGACAGAGGGACACAGAGGGACACAGAGACAGAGGGACACAGAGACAGAGGGACACAGAGACAGAGGGACACAGAGACAGAGGGACACAGAGGGACACAGAGGGACACAGAGACAGAGGGACGCAGAGACAGAGGGACACAGAGACAGAGGGACACAGAGACAGAGGGACACAGAGGGACACAGAGACAGAGGGACACAGAGACAGAGGGACACAGAGACAGAGGGACACAGAGACAGAGACAGAGGGACACAGAGGGACACAGAGACAGAGGGACACAGAGACAGAGGGACACAGAGACAGAGGGACACAGAGACAGAGGGACACAGAGGGACACAGAGACAGAGGGACACAGAGACAGAGGGACACAGAGACAGAGGGACACAGAGGGACACAGAGACAGAGGGACACAGAGGGACACAGAGACAGAGGGACACAGAGACAGAGGGACACAGAGACAGAGGGACACAGAGACAGAGGGACACAGAGGGACACAGAGACAGAGGGACACAGAGGGACACAGAGACAGAGGGACACAGAGACAGAGGGACACAGAGACAGAGGGACACAGAGACAGAGGGACACAGAGACAGAGGGACACAGAGGGACACAGCGACAGAGGGACACAGAGACAGAGGGACACAGAGACAGAGGGACACAGAGGTACACAGAGACAGAGGGACACAGAGACAGAGGGACACAGAGACAGAGGGACACAGAGGGACACAGAGGGACACAGAGACAGAGGGACACAGAAGGACACAGAGACAGAGGGACACAGAGGGACACAGAGGGACACAGAGACAGAGGGACACAGAGACAGAGGGACACAGAGACAGAGGGACACAGAGACAGAGGGACACAGAGACAGAGGGACACAGAGGGACATGACATGGGTGCACCTCACTTCATTCAGACAGACAGATGCGGGGGACTCTATCTCTTTATGTATCTATCTGACAGGGCCTTTGAAACCTGGAGCAATCCACTCAATGTTTCACCTAATATCCACAGACCAAACTGTGTGTTCTTTCTCCATTGTTGATTCTATTGAGCACAATTTGTGAACCATTACACAATACAGGTGGAAATCGATGTACATTCTATTGGTTTTGGGATGGTCTAGGTGATCTACGGGCCGTTGAACCCGATGAGTGTCCATGCTGGTGCATACAGTTGAAATATTTATCACACACTCTCAGAGCTTAGATCATTGCAGGTCATATTGCTTACCGTAAACTCTGTGGGGTTTGTCTTTCTGCTAAATGATAAGCTATTTAATGTTCAATCTGTTGATAGATGAGTGAAAGACAAGAGCAGAGCTGTGCTGGACAATGTACTAGGCCTACACCCTGCTGATTCAACAGGAAATAGGCTTCTTGGAAATGGAATGTATGTCCTGTATTCACACTCATAATATGGATTTAGTCAATAACCTATAGGAATACAGTAGAAACCATTGAGCACATTTACAAGGAAATTAATTTTTAACTTAAAAAGGAAGATACACTCTTAGAAAAAAAAAGGTGCAATCTAGAACCTTTAAGGGTTCTTTGGCTGTCCCCATAGGAGAACCCTTTGAATAACCCTTTTTGGTTGCAGGTAGAACCCTTGTGGGTTCCATGTAGAACCCTTTCTACAGAGGGTTCTACATGGAACCCAAAAGGGTTATTCATGGAACCCTTTTTTCTAAGAGTGTATCTATATTTGTAACTTAACTTTTTTAATTGCCACTAAGGGGATACATAAAGTTGTATTGAACTGAAAAAATGATAAAGAACCTTGACACATCATCATCTTTTCCAGCATCCAGGTCTTGACGCACAGAAGCTGTTAAAATGTCCAAGCAAGTGAATATCTGATGATAACACGACTTTATCACTAAAGTGTCATTACACACTGACATTGACATTTCTACCATCACCTCCTATGAGTCAACAGTTGGTCGGGCATGGGCCCTCATCGTGATTAATGATTAAATGAATATTTTTTTTATCACAAAATATGTTTTTATTAGTAATCAATAAAAATACACTGAGGTTAGAATACATTTCATAAATGCTTTACATTCGAATGAGCAAATTCAACAAACAAACAAGGCCATAATGTTTTTACTGTGGAATGACCCTTTGAAGAGGAAATGGTCTATTCACTTCCATTCATTTTCCGGCCCAGTGCTGGGTTACGTTCAGACTGTCTCGTGGTAGAGCAAAACAAAACTGTTCAGACTCTGCAGACATTTTCGTGAGAAGACAGATTTTCGGGATGTCTCATCATGGTCTGACAAACACACCTGCTACGAAAAGTCAATTATGGTCAAGCTGCATCCCATCGACAAAACCGTGCAGCTCAGCCACCTTCCACCACAGATGTGGAAGGCCGAAATCGACGGATGAGGTGGATTGAGACGCAGCCCAGATATCGCTAGCTTAATTAAGAGTCTATGCCAGGGATTCTACTAAGCAAACACATGGAATTGTTTTAAGATGGTCACACCAAGGATCGTTTAGCTATTTGATTTAGTCAAAAAATAAATCAAAAAGGAAGTTTGTTTTAAAGTGTCTGTCCTATATCTGAGAGATATAAGAAAGATCAGGATTTAAAAAATATATATATATATATTTGTACCCATATTTAATAAAAAATAAATGGCACTAAACTACTTCCATATACTTCCATTGGTGTTTTTAACTGGTACCAGGCTACCTTCAAATAAAATACAATACAATGGTATTTCTCACATGCACCGAATACCGTGAAATGCTTACTTACAAATCTTGTGAGGTTTGTGGGCGTCCTAGAGCAAAACAACCGACTCGTAGTTTGTAGGCCAAAACGTTCCGACGCTAGAGACGTTTTCGTGAGAAGACAATTTTCTGGATGTCTCCTGGTCTGACACACACTGCTGTAGCTCGGACACCTTCCACCACAGATACTCTCTCTCTCGCTTAAACAGATGGATTTTGATCAGGACTTTTGTATTATGCTAATGTATTTCCGCTAATTGTATTATGCTAATTTAATGCTCAATTAATATTTATTTTTAACTCATAATGACATCAAAACAACATCACAAAATATACAGGTAATTACATACAAAACAAATCTATGTCCCAGAAAGATGCTACAACAATGTTTGGAGTCGGGCTATTGGTCCTCTTCCCGGCCGTCAGTCACCCAGTGGGATAACATCTAGATTGACCTGTAAACTGTGATCTGATGTTCTCATATCGGTGGATTCAGTGGAAACCCCATGTCGTCCTCTATGTCCAGCTCTTGGTCTGTATCATCTGAAATGTCTGACTCTATTTCTCCTTGTGATAGAGGCGACGTGGAACACTGCAAACGATGGGTCATTTCTGTAGGCCGACATCTCTGGTCCCGGCCCGGGCTGAGGCTCACGCCTGACTCCGGTCCCTCCTCGCAGTTTCTCCCGGTGCTCTCGTCCTCCAGATCTCTCTTACTGCCGGTAGGGTTCTCCTGGGGAAATAACAACAACGGTAACCAATCAGCCACAATATATATTTCACATTGGGTATGCCATTGCTATTGCGCATGACTTTTACGCACAGGCTACTCAAGCACTAAACCTATAATAAATGTCATTTTTTTAGCTTGAAATTAGATATAAATAGCCTTTACTTTGGCAACTTTAATCGAAAAGTACATTAAACCCAGTACTCATTTATTCATACCTGCTTCAGTCGCCTCCACTTGGCTCTTCGATTTTGGAACCATGTCTTCACCTGGAAAACAACGTCAACGATATATTTTTTTAATGTTAGGCTACTGGATTCTGTGTCAGATAATTTACCTTAGACTATAGGCCTATGTGAAAATCAGTTGAACGAAATGTCTTTAAAAAATATGTAATTGATGATACAGATTAAACGGATGAAACCCAACTGATTACCAAAGTAACCAAAGTGTGAATGCACCAAGTCGCTCTGGATAAGAGCGTCTGCTAAATGACGTAAATGTAAAATGTAAATGTAACCTGAAATGTATAGCGACTGGATGTGGAACCAAATAAAACACGCTGCTGACCTGTCGTTCACTCAGTTGTAACATTTTAGCCAGTCGTTTTCGTTCTGGGGGTGAAAGGTATTTCTGGGTCTCAAACTTCTTTTCCAACTCGATTGTCTGGTCGTTGGAGAATCGGACTTGTCCACCTTTTCTCTTGTGCAGTGGACGCTGAATGAATGGGCTCCATAAAAGTTGTTTACCTTTGAAGACAAAAATAAAAATAATGATTTAATATAGAAAAACATGTTTATACAAATGGGGCAGAATTATATGCTAATATTAGATCTACTGTAGCTCAATTGGTAGAGCACGGCGCTTGTAACGCCAGGGTAGTGGGTTCGATCCCCGGGACCACCCATACGTAAAAATTTATGCACACATGACTGTAAGTCGCTTTGGATAAAAGCGTCTGCTAAATGGCATATTATATTATATTATATAAGTAGCCCCAAAAGTTAAATAAATCAAAATAGCTTTCGTTAACCTGATTCGTTTCTCCTCCAGCAGAGGCCTACATGATTCTATGCAAATATTTACAATTATTTCATCTTTCTTGTCAGTTTTTGCAGGCATCCGTTTAACCTCCGTTTTTACGGAAGGCCGTGAGTTGAAACTTGAAACTGAGTGGAGACTAAAACAATGGCAAAATATCCTTCCTGTGTTTCCTGTTGCTTTATCGCACCAGTTTATCTCATTACTAACCGCCTTTCCATCAACATACTGCAATTGATGCTATTTAAAACCGAAACATGTTTTAATCAGCTTATCTAATTTAACTATAACCATAACTTCATAAGAAGACAATAATAATCACCATAACAATAGTTCAATCCTTTAAAAAATGTTGGAAAATATATACATATTCCAAAAGGAAAAACATTTATAATCGCTTTTAAAAAGTGATATGATTCATTATACCCAAAAAATATTTTGGTTTTGTGGCACCATGATCAAAACCAGATTTTTCTTATAGGCATAAATTGAATTATTTAATTAATCAAATACATTTGATAAAATAGTGAAATTCAAATAAATTCAAAGTCACCCTAAAGATGTTAAATTGCGTCACTGCATAGGCCTATTTCATGTTTGCAGTTTGATTATTTTAGCAACCATAAAGTCACATTCACCGCAGAGGAAATGAACAATATCAGACAAACGGATCCCGGCTATCAGAAGTCGAGTGTTTCCTGAATGTGTCTGTATTGAGGATGTCGATAAAATAATCAGCATCGTGCACGACTCCCGGGGAAGAGGCTGCTCGAGGCCGCCAGGAAAACATTCAACAGCTTCTGAAAGCAGATTTACTCCTATCGAGAGCTCAAGACTTCCTGTATGAACGGAAAGGGTCAGGCTTGCTGAACAGAGAAGCAGTTCACCCCAGAGCGACACTTTAATGCTGAAATAACAAGTGATTTAGAGCATGTTTAGTCGCAGGATGCATCAGATGTTTGGAACAATAACGAATTTTGCACAAAAAAACTAAAGGCGTTGACTTAAGTGGCACAACACTTTAACAGTTTGCAAATTAAACAGACAACTTAATATGTGTTTAGGCAAATGATGTATAGGCAAATTATGCCTGAAGTAATCAACTATGTTCAAGCATGATACAATGCTTATACATTCTTACCTCTAAAATATACTACCACTTTAGGATGGAAATCTGCAGCATGCAGGGGAATGAGAATCTAGTTTCAAAATCAAGTACATGCACAAACGTTTTATCTCCACATTGCACATAGGTTATTACAGATTTATATTAGTTGTCAACATTAAAGTATCTTAACGAATTTCAGCAGAAAAATCATCCAAACAAGTAAGAGATTCATATGAGTTCAACTCACCAAGCGGATCGTGCCTGATCAGGGCATGGGTATAGTCCCCCATAGAGCGGTAGAATGGATACAGTGAATTTGCCCCCGAGGCATATGAGGCTGTCAGCGCAGCGTGGTGAGAGAACGCAGGGTGGATCGGTGTCGGTTCATAGATGGGGGTCCGGTACGGAGAGACCAAACTGGTGAAGGATGAGTTCGGAGACGGTAGAGTTGGCGTGGGGACCACCGCTGAAGACTGGGCCGGGGTCTCATTTCTCCCCAGGATGTCTTCTATGTAGAAAGGAGTTGGGTGGACGGGCTGGATAGGGGTCGGCGCGTAAAGAGGAACACCCATGGCCGAAGGCGTACTGTGTTGGTACTGCATGATTACCTTGCGTAATACTGCTGAATAATATCTCTATCCAACTATATTATCTTCTGCTGTCAAAGGAAGAACTGTAGGAAACCTGTAGGCGCCTCTCTCTCTCTCCATGAGTAGCTGAGGTTTGTTGGCTGGTGATTGTGACACCAGTTAAGGCTACTTCATATCTCAGCATTAGAGGGAGGAGATAACCGAGCAGGCCACTTCCTGCAGGCACACACACACTGCGATTGGTCCCCTCGCAAATACACTTTATAATGCAATAACATCCAATCATTAGGCTATCCCTTATCTTACCTTAAGCGCCTATGTTAATTAATAAAATAGGCCTGCCCATTTTATCTGTTTTTAATGATGGTATGAACATCTCCTGACGTGTCTATATAAATGGTTCAATAGGCTATTCACGTGGTTTTCCAGATTCAATAGGCTATTCACGTGGTTTTCCAGATTCAATAGGCTATTCACGTGGTTTTCAATGTGCGTAAAACATTGAAAAAAAATCTCCAATCTGGAAAAAGTTAATTATAATGGATTATAATGGAGTAATTTCCTGACTCATTCAGATAAGATATTTGGACTCATCATGCACATTATCACAGACTATTATTACAGATTTAAACCGCAACAATAGATTGTAAAATACAACTGTATCTATGGCAGGTGATTAACTCATGATTTGGATGATTGAAACAATCCTGAGGGTGATTCCTATATCAGTGGGCCCATAGAGAGACACTACAATAGCGATAGGCCTTCAGTATAATAGTGTTGTGTGAGTAGGCCTATTATGAATGTTAGTGGCTTTAAATAGCTCACTGAGTAGGCCTACCTGATTATCCCCGCATCGTTTCCTCTTCTCTGTTAAACAGTAATGAATAAATTCCGTTATAACTTCTCTAATGTTTCAGCTGGATCTGCACAATCCCTAAAAGTAATCTGCGCTCTCTCCAATTTAAAACAGAGCCTGTGACTATGAGCAGGCCCTAGCCTATATTTTGAACATGTGTGCAATATTTCGCAGCTATTGGGTGTATTCTTTATTCACTGAAGCTACAATTTTGTAACTCGGCTCATTTCAGCTCTTTAACTGTTTTTTGGTCTTGATGCTATTTGTGCGCTGACGCAACGCTGAAATCCCCCCATTGCCAATAGTTCCACTGATAGCTGATTGGATTTTCTACAAGCGAGTCACTCCAATAAAGGACACTTTCTAACTTTGTCATTTAGATAAAGAGACCCCAAGAATAAACATTGATATGAGAGAAGCGGAGACATATAGCCTCACATGAAAGTCAAATCAGTAGATTGCTAATATTTGGACTTTGACAATCATTGCAGTGAATTGATCGGACTGGCGTCGGACTCCTGTCCAACAACAGCTGATAATTACAGAGAGCAGGGCGGGTGGTTATCGCTGTCTAATATCATCGAGCGGCAGGGACATTGTTGGCGCCACAGGTCCGATTTTAGAGACGTTTTAAAGTTAATGGAGTAAATTAATAGAAATGTTTTAATAAAATCAATCATCATCAAACACCGAACTGTCTCTATTTTAAATATGTGGTATATTATTAGAGCCTATCCTATGAATATCCACATGCCGTCTAGGCTACTTTATCCAGTCAATTGTGAGAGAAAGAAAGATGGTGTAGCCACAGGCTTTAGGCCTATAATTTGTAGTGTCACAATTGGATATTCGTTTTCAACAAATTATACAAACTGGGTCTTCAGCGGTGTTATCACCTGATAGGTTCATGGTGCTAAAACTAAGGACTCATATTATGATGATTAGGCTGCCTACATGTAATTACAGTTTAACTGCCCCCAGATTACCAAGTAACATCATAGATTTTGGACAAAAATGAACTGCTAATGGTTTGCGACCTGCTTTATGCTGCCCGGTCTGCACACACACAGGGTAGCCTGTCATGGTTCCCCTGTTCCCCTTTGCGTGCTGCCTGCCTGTGTGATTATGGACCACCCAAACAGAAGGAGCAACACTGCTGCCATCTACAGGAGGATAGATATAGAGCAGACTAGTTGTTATTTCTGAAGTGAAAAACTGTGTGCAACCGGTGTGAAATGGCTAACTAGTTAGCGGTGCACGCTAGTAGTATTTCAATCGGTGACGTCACTCGCTCTGAGACCTTGAAGTAGTTGTTTCCCTTTGCTCTGCAAGGGCCGTGGCTTTTATGGAGCGACGGGTAACGGTGCTTCGAGGGTGACTGTTGTCGATGTGTGCAGAGGGTCCCTGGTTCGAGCCCAGGTAGGGGCGAGGAGAGGGACGGAAGCAACACTGTTACATGTGCATGAAAAGTAGTCATCTCTTGTTGAATGACAACAAACACTTCATGTTCCCGCTCCTACTAGGAGTAGTACTGTTGACCAATCACCGATGAAGGGGCGTAGACTTCGGCTACCGAATTTCGACTTGCCCCAACAAAAATGTAATGTGCACAAACAACCGAAACCCCCCCCACCGCCTAAGACCAAGACGAACAAAAACCAGAGCTGTGTTCGAATACCCATACTAACATACTGTATAATACATACTTAATGAGTATATACTACAAGTTAATTTTAGTATACTGTAAACGAACGGTATCCTTTCATTTGATCGTACTAGCGCGTCGCCTGTCTACCGGAAGTTGATGCTGTTGCTATGCAACCTCTTGCTAGCTTGTTAGCATAACAAATTACTAGCTGGACGTTTTACGACTTCGGTTGTGTTCTTAAATGCAATCTGTAGTGCCAGAGTGCGCTCTGGACGTTCGTAAAATCAGAGCGTTGTCAGATTGTCCTTTTGTAAATTCAGAGCGTTTGGCTCTTGGAGTGGGGTGGCAGGTAGCTTAGTGGTTAAGAGCGTTGTGCCAGTAACCGAAAGGTCGCTGGTTCTAATCCCCGAGCCGACTAGGTGAAAAATCTGTCGATGCCTTGAGCAAGGCACTTAACCCTAATTGCTCTGGATAAGAGCGTCTGCTAAATGACTAAAAATGTAAAGTTCAGAGCGCACACTGGACGATCTGGCCGAGGAGTTATGTCCATAATATGGGAGTAGGGTTGATTCGGGCGTTCTAACCTTACAATGGCAGTCAAGATAACTGGCTAACTGGCTAACGTTGCTGCTGTAATGATATGCTATGTGGTTCGTAAGGATAGCGTAGCTAACAAATTGTCAGCCAACATAACGTGTAAGGTAACTTATTTGAAAAGTCATTACTTTATTACATTGCTCCACATTTTCTTAACATTTGTCATAATTAGTTAAAGCAATGAATCAAAGTCCGCTGGACTTTGGCTACATATTTACCGGCATTTTCTTCAAATCTGAAAACGATGTGAAGCCACGCCCATTTGAGGAAGAATTGCATTTAGTTTGTTTAGTGATTTCTATTACTGTTATCTTAAACTTAACTTGTTCTCTGCGATATCGTATAGCATTGGAATCGTGACATTATTTTATATATTTTATTTAACCTTTATTTAACTAGGCAAGTCAGTTAAGAACAAATTCTTATTTACAATGACGGCCTACCAAAGGCAAAAAGCCTCCTGCGGGTACTGGGGCTGGGATAAAAAATATTTTATATATATATATATATATATATATATATATATATAACAAAACACACATCACGACAAGAGAGACACCACAACACTACATAAAGATAGACCTTTTTAAGTTGTCCCACTTACATTTACATTTTAGTCATTTAGCAGACGCTCTTATCCAGAGCGACTTACAGTTAGTGAGTGCATACATTTTTAATTTTTTCATACTGGAATCGAACCCACAACCCTGGCGTTGCAAACGCCATGCTCTACCAACTGAGCTACATCCCTGCCGGCCATTCCCTCCCCTACCCTGGACGACGCTGGGCCAATTGTGCGCCGCCCCATGGGTCACTTCTTGACCACCTGGTAAATTGACACCTTTCCCAGGACACCCAACTCTTTTAAATTATGTACTTTCGAGGAAAATAGGGAGGTTTCTCGAGGCATAAAAAAAAAAGGTTTCTGGCCTCAAACTCAGATTTTTAGAAGGGATTGCATTGCGTGGCGCACCATGACAACGGGAACGTGATTGGTTGACAGTCTGCTGGGCGGAGCGTTATACGTTTTTCTATTCATTTCCCGCTGGGATTCTTCTCTCCTCCTTTTCTAATATGGCTTAACCAACCAAAATCTCTCCAGGGGGGCGGCTGAAAGAGGAAGTTTTCCGGTTTTCAGGATACAGTATTTTGGATAGAATTAGGAATTAGAATACTAGAATCAGTGGCGATTTTAGCGTGTAAATCTTGGTAGGGCAAACTCAACATTTAAAAAAAATGCATGCCAGCAAAGCCACTACACAACACTAAACAATACAATAATTGCACTATAATGGTGACAAACGGTGCCCACAAACTGTTAGGGCCTACATAAAGCTATCCCAACAGCAGAGCTTTCTTTTCAGCACAATAGAGTGAATCCTTACCACCGCTACACCTGGCGATCAGTGGAGCCTTGTCTGGCAGCGAAACAGTTCATTCAGCCTCATTTACGATCCTCATCCAACCTGACAGAGCTTGAGAGGGTCTGCAGAGAAGAATGGGAGAAACTCCCCAAATACAGGTGTGCCAAGCTTGTAGCGTCCTCTCAAGCTCTGTCAGGTTGGATGGGGAGCGTCGCTGCACAGCTATTTTCAGGTCTCTCCAGAGATGTTAGATCGGGCTCAAGTCCAGGCTCTGGCTGGGCCACTCAAGGACATTCAGAGACTTGTCCCGAAGCCACTCCTGCGTTGTCTTGGCTGTGTGCTTAGGGTCGTTGTCCTGTTGGAAGGTGAACCTTCGCCCCAGTCTGAGGCCAAGGCCCTTTTCCCTCGATTGCTCAGAATGGTCGGGCGGCCAGCTCTAGGAAGAGTATTGGTGGTTCCAAACTTCTTCCATTTAAGAATGATGGAGGCCACTGTGTTCTTGGGGACCTTCAATGCTGCAGAATTTTGGGGACCTTTAAGGCTCCAGATCTGTGCCTCAACACAATCCTGTCTCTGAGCTCTATGGACAATTCCTTTGACCTCATGACTTGGTTTTTGCTCTGACATGCACTGTTAACTGTGGGACCTTATATAGACAGGTGTGTGCCTTTTCAAATCATGTCCAATCAATTAAATTTACCACAGGTGTACTCCAATCAAGTTTTATAAACATCTCAAGGATGATCAATGGAAACAGGATGCACCTGAGCTCAATTTCGAGTCTCATAGCAAAGGGTCTGAATACTTATGTCAAGGTATTTCTGTTTATTATTTTTAATACATTTGCAAACATTTCTAAAAACTAGTTTTCGCTTTGTCATTATGGGGTATTGTGTGTAGATTGATGAGGATTTATTTTTATTTAATCAATTTTAGAATAAGGCTGTAACAATATGTGGAAAAAGGGAAGGGGTCTGAATACTTTCCGAATGCGCTGTACATAGGGCAGCAGCCTCTAAGGTGCAGGGTTGAGTAACCGGGTGGTAGCCGGCTAGTGATGGCTATTTAAAAGTCTGATGGCCTTGAGATAGAAGCAGTTTTTCCAGTCTCTCGGTCCCAGCTTTGATGAACCTGTACTGACCTCGCCTTCCGGATGATAGTGGGGTGAACAGGCCGTGGCTCGGTGGCTGAGGTCCTTGATTATCTTTTTGGCCTTCCTGTGACACCGGGTGCTGTAGGTGTCCTGGAGTGCGGGCAGTGTGCCCCCGGTGATGCGTTGGGCAGACCGCACCACCCTCTGGAGAGCCCTGTGGTTACGGGCGGTGCAGGTACCGTACCAGGCGGTGATACAGCCCGACAGGATGCTCTCAATGGTGCATCTGTAGAAGTTTGTGAGGGTCTTAGGGGCCAAGCTGAATTTCTTCAGCCTCCTGAGGTTGAAGAGGCGCTGTTGCGCTTTCTTCACCACACTATCTGTGTGGGTGGACCATTTCAGATTGTCAGTGATGTGTACGCAGAGGAACTTGAAGCTTTCCACCTTCTCCACTGCGGTCCCGTCGATGTGGATAGGGGCGTGCTCCCTCTGCTGTCTCGTTTTGTTGAAGTTGAGGGAGAGGTTATATTCCTGACACCACTCCGCCAGGGCCCTCAACTCCTCTACTGTTGTGTCGTCTGTAAAGTTGATAATTGAGTTGGAGGCGTGCGTGGCCACGCAGTCATGGGTGAACAGTGAGTACAGGAGGGGGCTGAGCACACACTCTTGTGAGGCCACTGTGTTGAGGATCAGCGTAGTGGAGGTGTTGTTTCCTACCTTCACCACCTGGGGGCGGCCCGTCAGGAAGTCCAGGACCCAGTTGCACAGGGCGGGGTTCAGACCCAGGGCCTCGAGCTTAATGATGAGCTTGGAGGGTACTATGGTGTTGAAGGCTGAGCTGTAGTCAATGAACAGCATTCTTACATAGGTATTTCTCTTGTCCAGATGGGATAGGGCAGTGTGCAATGCGATGGTGATTGCATCGTCTGTGGATCTATTGGGGCGGTATGCAAATTGAAGTGGGTCTAGGGTGACAGGTAAGGTAGAGGTGATATGATCCTTAAACTAGCCTCTCAAAGCACTTCATGATGACAGAAGTGAGTGCTACCTTTACTGACAATATTTTAGGTTGTCTATAATTCCATTGCTCAATATCTGATAGATCAAATGCCTTACTTTTATTTTCCTGCATAAGTAAAAGCAGTGACAACCCTGAAAAACTGATGTGGGGACAAGATGGCTGCCGGAGAAGATGGCTGCCGTTTTACAGCCCTCTAACCAATTGGTACTATTATGTGTGTTTTTTCGCGTTATTTGTAATTTATTCTGTACATAATGTTTCTGCCACCGTCTCTTATAACCAAAAAGAGCTTCTGGATGTCAGGACAGCGATTACTCACCTCGTATTGGACGAAGATTTTTTCTTCAACGAGTCGGACGCAAAGGATATCCTACAGACACCCGCCAAGGCCCAAATCCCTGTCATTCGCATGAGGAAGAGACAGAGATATCGTGGACGTAGGTCGGGGTGCCTTGTAAGGATCCGACGGCGAGCGAGTAAACTGCCTCTTCTATCAATCCTATTAGCCAATGTTCAATCATTTGAGAATAAATTGGACGACCTAAGATTAAGGTTATCCTACCAACGGGACATTAAAAACTGTCATATCTTATGTTTCACCGAGTCGTGGCTGAGCGACGACATGGATAACATACAGCTGGCGGGATATACGCTACATCGGCAGGATAGAACGGCTGACTCCGGTAAGACAAGGGGTGGCGGTCTGTATATATGTAAACAACAGCTGGTGCATAAAATCTAATACAAAGGAAGTCTCAAGGTTTTTTTTTTTTTTTTTACCACCACAAACCGATGCTGGCACTAAGACCGCACTGAATGAGCTGTATAAGGCCATAAGTAAACAGGAAAACGCTCATCCAGAGGCAGCGCTCCTAGTGGCCGGGGACTTTAATGCAGGGAAACTTAAATCTGTTCTACCTAATTTCTACCAGCATGTTAAATGTGCATCCAGAGGAAAAACAACTCTAGACCACCTTTACTCCACACACAGAGACGCATACAAAGCTCTCCCTCGCCCTCCATTTGGCAAATCTGGCCATAACTCTATCCTCCTGATTCCTGCTTATAAGCAAAAACTAAAGCAGGAAGCACCAGTGACTCGGTTAATAAGGAAGTGGTCAGATGACGCAGATGCTAAGCTACAGGACTGTTTTACTAGCAAAGACTGGAATATGTTCTGGGATTCTTCCGATAGCATTGAGGAGTACACCACATCAGTCACTGGCTTCATCAATAAGTGCATCGATGACGTCGTGCCCACAGTGACCGTACGTACATACCCCAACCAGAAGCCATGGATTACAGGCAACATCCGCACTGAGCTAAAGGGTAGAGCTTCCGCTTTCAAGGAGCGGGACTCTAACCCAGACACTTATAAGAACTCCCGCTATGCCTTCCGACGAACCATCAAACAGGCAAAGAGTCAATACAGGACTAAGATTTAATCGTACTACACCGGCTCCGACGCTCGTCGGATGTGGCAGGGCTTGAAAACTATTACAGACTACAAAGGGAAGCACATCAGCGAGCTGCCCAGTGACACAAGCCTACCAGACGAGCTAAACCACTTCTATGCTCGCTTCGAGGCAAATAACACTGAAGCATGCATGAGAGCATCAGCTGTTCCGGATGACTACGTGATCACGCTCTCCGTAGCCGATGTGAGTAAGACTTTTAAGCATTTCAACATTCACAAGGCTGCAGGGCCAGACGGATTACCAGGACATGTACTCCGAGCATGCACTGACCAACTGGCAAGTGTCTTCACAGACATTTTCAACATGTCCCTGACTGAGTCTGTAATACTAACATGTTTCAAGCAGACCACCATAGTCCCTGTGCCCAAGAACACTAAGAAAACCTGCCTAAATGACTACCGACCTGTAGCACTCATGTCTGTAGCCATGAAGTGCTTTGAAAGGCTGGTCATGGCTCACATCAACACCATTATCCCAGAAACCCTAGACCCACTCCAATTTGCATACCGCCCCAACAGATCCACAGATAATGCAATCTCTATTGCACTCCACACTGCCCTTTCCCACCTGGACAAGAGGAACACCTACGTGAGAATCCTATTCATTGACTACAGCTCAGCGTTCAACACCATAGTGCCCTCAAAGCTCATCACAAAGCTAAGGACCCTGGGACTAAACACCTCCCTCTGCAACTGGATCCTGGACTTCCTGACGGGCCGCCCCCCAGGTGGTAAGGGTAGGTAACAACACATCTGCCACGCTGATCCTCAACACGGGGTGTGTGCTCAGTCCCCTCCTGCACTCCCTGTTTACCCATGACTGCATGGCCAGGCACGACTCCAACACCATCATTAAGTTTGCCGACGACACAACAGTGATCACCGACAACAATGAGACAGCCTATAGGGAGGAGGTCAGAGACCTGGCCCTGTGGTGCCAGGATAACAACCTCTCCCTCAACGTGATGAAGACAAAGGAGATGATTGTGGACTACAGGAAAAAAAAGGTCCTTAGATCAGCTGCACCATCAAGAGCATCCTGACTGGTTGCATCACCACCTGGTATGGCAACTGCTCGGCCTCCGAACGCAAGGCACTACAGAGGGTAGTGCGTATGGCCCAGTACATCTCTGGGGCCATCCAGGACCTCTATACCAGGCAGTGTCAGAGGAAGGCTACCGCACGGCAAGTGGTACCGGAGCGCCAAGTCTAGGTCCAAAAGGCTTCTTAACAGCTTCTATCCCCAAGCCATAAGACTCCTGAACAGCTAATCAAATGGCTACCCGGACTATTTGCAGGTCTGAATTAGCCCCTGATTAGAAGGAGAGGATGAAAAACAGAGGTGTTTCGGCCCTCCAGGACCGGAATTGAAGAACCCTGCCCTACATACAGCCTCCCTACTGTTATTTTATTTTACTGCTGCTCTTTAATCTTTTTATTTTATTTTATTTATTTTATTTTTTACTTATCTATTTTTTACTTAACACTTTTTATTTTCTTAACTGCAATTGTAGGTTAAGGGCTTGTCAGTAAGCATTTCACTGTAATGTCTACACCTGTTGTATTCGGCACATGTGGCAAATAAAATGTGATTTGATTTGAAAAATAACACACAAAGGCTTAAAACAACTTAGTCTAAAAATCCGCATAGGATAAATTCAGGTTTAGACAATTAAATTGGTAGCTGTGCCTATCAGTTATTCGAGATAGCATTTTAGGACTCAACATTGCATGATTTCTAGCCTGGAAAGCCGCTAGTGTCCGCTATTTACCTGTCTTTTGACGTGGAGATCCGTAAAAAGACATGTAAATACCGCCCACTAGCGGCTGTCCAGGCTACATGATTGCCGACACATTTTCAAATACCCAACACTGGTTCTGAAAACCCAAAAGGCCTCAAATCTAATGAAAAATCCTGTAATATCAAACAACGTCACTTGCTTCAACGGCATGAAGACAGACAAATGTAGTATAACGTTTTGTACTGCTTTTGATTCGGTGTGCTGCTTTAAATGATCTCCCCCCGTGCACAAGAAACGTTGCAAATATATGTTTCCGCCCCCTAACACAGATTTGTGGTTGGCTGATTTTAGTTCCGCCCTTCTCCCTGGTCTATAGTGACAGCTGAGCTAGCGCAATGTATCGCTCTTTGAGAAACGTCCAGCGATTTAACTGCAAACTCCAGGCGTTGCAGAGGAACCTAGCCAACACAAAGCACAATCCTGCTGCAGGAGTCATCTTCACATCCTCCAGAATGGTACGTTTTGTCTTTTCGGAGATCGGAGTCATGTTGTTAACCCATCGCAGGCCCGTAAATGACCTTATTAGTTAGCCAAGCTAACTGGCTAGCTAGCCCATTAGTAGTACTAGCTAAAATGAATTAGTAGTTAGCCACCTTGCTAGCTTTACACGAATGCAGTAATGGTGCTTTTAGGACAACCGCAGATAGTTTTTCAAACGAGAAACACAAGTATTCACAGCAATATTCTGGTAGCAAGCAAGCTAGCTTGTAAGTTGGCTAATGTTATCTTGTCAAGCAAGTAGAAGGTCAAAGTCAGTTTACAATTATCTGCTAGCTAGCTAGCTTGCTAACTGGCCAACTTTCACTGCATACTTGCCAAGTTCACACGGAGTTCAAATCAAATTATATTTGTCACATGCGCCGAATACAACAGGTGTAGACTTTACCGTGAAATGCTTATTTACAAGCCCTTTCCCAACAATACAGACTGAAAAAGTAAGAAAAATGTGCTAAATAGTAACACAATAAATGGCAATAACGAGTCTATTTGGCTTTATTATGGATCCCCATTAGCTCTTCCTGAGGTCCAAAATTAAGTAAGTTTATACCATTTTAAATAGTCACCTCAACTTGCTCAATTTCAACATTATTTATTACAGGATTTAGTTGAGGTTTAGGGTTTAGTGAATGATTTGTCCCAAATAGTGGTTTTAGTTTTAGAAATATTTAGGACTAACTTATTGCTTGCCACCCACTCAGAAACTAACTACAGCTCTTTTAAGTGTTGCAGTCATTTCAGTCGCTGTAGTAGCTGACGTGTATAGTGTTGAGTCATCCGCATACATAGACACACTGGCTTTACTCAAAGCCAGTGGCATGTCATTAGTAAAGATTGAAAAAAGTAAGGGGCCTAGACAGCTGCCCTGGGGAATTCCTGATTCTACCTGGATTATGTTGGAGAGGCTTCCATTACAGAACACCCTCTGTGTTCTGTTAGACAGGTAACTCTTTATCCACAATATAGCAGGGGGTGTAAAGCCATAACACATATGTTTTTCCAGCAGCAGACTATGATCAATAATGTCAAATGCCGCACTGAAGTCTAACAAATCAGCCCCCACAATCTTTTTATCATCAATTTCTCTCAGCCAATCATCAGTAATTTGTGTAAGTGCTGTGCTTGTTTAATGTCCTTCCCTATAAGCGTGCTAAAAGTCTGTGGTCAATTTGTTTACTGTAAAATAGCATTTTATCTAGTCAAACGCCATTTTTCCCAAAAGTTTACTAAGGGTTGGTAACAGGCTGATTGGTCGGCTATTTGAGCCAGTAAACTGGGCTTTACTATTCTTAGGTAGCGGAATGACTTTTGCTTCCCTCCAGGCCTGAGGGCACACACTTTCTAGTAGGCTTAAATTGAAAATATGGCCAATAGGAGTGGCAATATCGTCCGCTATTATCCTCAGTAATTTTCCATCCAAGTTGTCAGACCTCGGTGGCTTGTCATTGTTGACAACAATAATTTTTTCACCTCTTCCACACTTTCATAATTTGGTCCAATATACTTGGATGTGTAGTGTCAGCGTTTGTTCCTGGCATGTCATGCCTAAGTTTGCTAATCTTGCCAATGAAAAAATAATTCAAGTAGTTGGCAATATCAGTTGGTTTTGTGATGAATAAGCCATCTGATTCAATGAATGACGGAGCTGAGTTTGACTTTTAACCCAACATTTCATTGAAGGTGCTCCAAAGCTTTTTATTATCATTCTTTATGTCATTTATCTTTGTTTCATAGTGTAGTTTCTTCTTCTTTTTATTCAGTTTAGTCACATTATTTCTCAATTTGCAGTACGTTTGCCAATCGGTTGTACATCCAGACCTATTTGCCATTCCTTTTGCCTCAACACTCTCAACCATACAAGTTTTCAATTCCTAATCAATCCACAGGGATTTAACTGTTTTTAGTCATTTTTTTAATGGGTGCATGCTTATTAGTAACTGGATTAAGTAATTTCATAAATATGTCAAGTGCAGCGTCTGGTTGCTCCTCATTACACATCACAGACCAACAAGTATTCTTTACATCAACAACATAGGAATCACTACAAAACTTATTGTATGGCATAATTTTCTGGAATTTTCCAAGCTGTTTAAAGGCACAGTCAACTTAGTGTATGTAAACTTCTGACCCACTGGAATTGTGATACAGTGAATTATAAGTGAAATAATCTGTCTGTAAACAATTGTTGGAAAAATGACTTGTGTCATGCACAAAAGTAGATGTCCTAACCGACTTGCCAAAACTATAGTTTGTTAATAAGACATTTGTGGAGTGGTTGAAAAACAAGTTTTAATGACTCCAACCTAAGTGTATGTAAACTTCCGACTTCAACTGTATATATATATATATATATATCTCAGCAAAAAATTAAACGTCCTCTCACTGTCAACTGCGTTTATTTTCCACAAACTTAACATGTGTAAATATTTGTATAAACATAAGGTTCAACAACTGAGACATAAACTGAACAAGTTCCACAGACATGTGACTAACAGAAAGGGAATAATGTGTCCCTGAACAAAGGGGGGGTCAAAATCAAAAGTAACAGTCAGTATCTGGTGTGGCCACCAGCTGCATTAAGAACTGCAGTGCATCTCCTCCTCATGGACTGCACCAGATTTGCCAGTTCTTGCTGTGAGATGTTACCCCACTCTTCCACCAAGGCACCTGCAAGTTCCCAGACATTTCTGGGGGGAATGGCCCTAGCCCACACCCTCCGATCCAACAGGTTCCGGGCTCTTTGCTGGCCATGGCAGAACACTGACATTCCTGTCTTGCAGGAAATCACGCACAGAACGAGCAGTGTGGCTGGTGGCATTGTCATGCTGGAGGGTCATATCAGGATGAGCCTGCATGAAGGGTACCACATGAGGGAGGAGGATGTCTTCCCTGTAACGCACAGCGTTGAGATTGCCTGCAATGACAAGCTCAGTCCGATGATGCTGTGACACACCGCCCCAGACCATGACGGACCCTCCACCTCCAAATCGATCCCACTCCAGAGTACAGGCCTCGGTGTAACGCTCATTCCTTCGACGATAAACGCGAATCTGACCATCACCCCTGGTGATACAAAACCGCGACTCGTCAGTGAAGAGCACTTTTTGCCAGTCCGGTCCAGCGACGGTGGGTTTGTGCCCATAGGCGACGTTGTTGCCGGTGATGTCTGGTGAGGACCTGCCTTACAACAGGCCTACAATCAGTTGTCCGTCCTGTCTCCCTGTAGCGCTGTCTTAGGCGTCTCACAGTACGGACATTGCAATTTATTGCCCTGGCCACATCTGCAGTCCTCATGCCTTTTTGCAGCATGGCCAAGGCACGTTCACGCAGATGAGCAGGGACCCTGGGCATCTTTCTATTAGTGTTTTTCAGAGTCAGTAGAAAGGCCTTTTTAGTGTCCTAAGTTTTCATAACTGTGACCTTAATTGCCTACCGTCTGTAAGCTGTTAGTGTCTTAACGACCGTTCCACAACTGCATGTTCATTAATTGTTTTTGGTTCATTGAACAAGCATGGGAAACAGTGTTTAAACCCTTTACAAAGAAGATCTGTGAAGTTATTTGGATTTTTACTCATTATCTTTGAAAGACATGGTCCTGAAAAAGGGACGTTTCTTTTTTGGCTGAGATATATCTTCTTATTTTATTGCTGTCCCCACGACAACAAAGTACTTAAATACATGTAATTTTGTCCTTGAAACATTTAATTGAAATACTGTACAGTCGTGGTCAAATGTTTTGAGAATGATACAAATACTAATTTTCACAAAGTCTGCTGCCTCAGTTTTGATGATGGCAATTTGCATATACTCCAGAATGTCATGAAGAGTGATCAGATGAATTGCAATTAATTGCAAAGTCCCTCTTTGCCATGAAAATGAACTTAATCCCCCAAAAACATTTCCACTGCATTTCAGCCCTGCCACAAAAGGACCAGCTGCCATCATGTCAGTGATTCTCTCATTAACACAGGTGAGAGTGTTGACGAGGACAAGGCTGGAGATCTCTCTGTCATGCTGATTGAGTTAGAATAACAGACTGGAAGCTTTAAAAGGAGGGTGGTGCTTGAAATCATTGTTCTTCCTCTGTTAACCATGGTTACCTGCAAGGAAACACGTGCCGTCATCATTGCTTTGCACAAAAAGGGCTTCACAGGCAAGGATATTGCTGCTAGTAAGATTGCACCTAAATCAACCATTTAACGGATCATCAAGAACTTCAAGGAGAGAGGTTCAATTGTTGTGAAGAAGGCGTCAGGGCACCCAAGAAAGTCTAGCAAGCACCAGGACCGTCTCCTAAAGTTGATTCAGCTGCGGGATCGGGGCACCACCAGTGCAGAGCTCGCTCAGGAATGGCAGCAGGCAGGTGTGAGTGCATCTGCACGCACAGTGAGGCAAATACTTTTGGAGGATGGCCTGGTGTCAAGAAGGGCAACAAAGAAGCCACTTCTCTCCAGGAAAAACATCAGGGACAGACTGATTCTGCAAAAGGTACAGGGATTGGACTGCTGAGGACTGGGGTAAAGTCATTTTCTCTGATGAATCCCCTTTCCGATTGTTTGGGGCATCCCAAAAAAATCTTGTCCGGAGAAGACAAGGTGAGCGCTACCATCAGTCCTGTGTCATGCCAACAGTAAAGCATCCTGAGACCATTCATGTGTTGGGTTGCTTCTCAGCCAAGGGAGTGGGCTCACTCACAATTTTGCCTAAGAACACAGCCATGAATAAAGAATGGTACCAACACATCCTCCGAGAGCAACTTCTCCCAACCATCCAAGAACAGTTTGGTGACGACCAATGCCTTTTCCAGCATGATGCAATAAGGCAAAAGTGATAACTAAGTGGCTCGGGGAACAAAACATTTACATTTTGGGTCCATGGCCAGGAAACTCCCCAGACCTTAATCCCATTGAGAATTTGTGGTCGATCCTCAAGAGGCGGGTGGACAAACAAAAACCCACAAATTCTGACAAACTCCAAGCATTGATTACGCAAGAATGGGCTGCCATCAGTCAGGATGTGGCCCAGAAGTTAATTGACAGCATGCCAGGGCGGATTGCAGAGGTCTTGGAAAAAGAAGGGTCAACACTGCAAATATTGACTCTTTGCATAAACTTAATGTAATTGTCAATAAAAGCCTTTGACACTTATGGAATGCTTGTAATTATACTTCAGTATACCATAGTAACATCTGACAAAAATATATCATAACACTGAAGCAGCGAAATTTTTGAAGACCAATACTTGTGTCATTCTCAAAACCTTTGACCACGACTGTATAGCTAGCTACTCCTTTTTGAGATTACGCAACTTTAACCAAATAACCATGTAGCTGCCGTCAAGTAACCCAGACTAACTTTTCATTTTTGCTATTTGACTGTCTCAATGTTGTTGTTCAGTCTTCGGAGTACAGAATTGAGGCAGACACCTTTGGAGAGCTGAAGGTGCCAGTTGACAAGTACTATGGGGCTCAGACTGTCAGGTCCACGATGAACTTCAAGATCGGCGGACCGTCGGAGAGAATGCCAGTAAGTTCAAACAAAATATTACTTCATTATTTCAAGTTGTAGGCCTATTGTTGTTGTATAATCATTGTAGCTTGCCCTGAGACATGGCTGTAGATTCCTGTGGCTGTAGTCACCAGTCCCGCCATGTCTTAGGGAATCATTTGTAGCTAGCTCTCGCTACAAATTGGACACACATCCTTTTTAACATTTCCTGTCCTATTTTCCTAGATTCAGATCAGACTAAAGGTTACTTCAAGGACAGTGCCTTGCAAAAGTATTCAACCCCCTTGGCGTGTTTCCTATTTTGTTGCATTACAACCTGTAATTTAAATGGATTTTATTCTGATTTCATGTAATGGACATACACAAAATAGTCCAAATTGGTGAAGTGAAATGAAAATAATCACTTGTTTCAAATAAAATGAAAGTGGTGCGTTCATATGTATTCACCCCCTTTGCTATGAAGCCCCTAAATAAGATCTGGTGCAACCAATTACCTTCAGAAGTCACATAATTAGTTAGATTGCACACAGGTGGACTTTATTTAAGTGTCAGATGATCTGTCACATGATCTCAGTGTATATATACACCTGTTCTGAAAGGCCCCAGAGTCTGCAACACCACTAAGCAAGGGGCACCACCAAGCAAGCGGCACCATGAAGATCAATGAGCTCTCCAAACAGGTCAGGGACAAAGTTGTGGAGAAGTACAGATCAGGGTTGGATTATAAAAAAAAATATCGGAAACATTTAACATCCCACAGAGCACCATTAAATCCAATATAAAAAAATGGAAAGAATATGGCACCACAACAAACCTGCCAAGAGAGGGCCGCCCACCAAAACTCATGGACCAGGCAAGGAGGGCATTAATCAGAGAGGCAACAAAGAGACCAAAGATAACCCTGAAGGAGCTGCAAAGCTCCACAGTGGAGATTGGAGTATCTGTCCATAGGACCACTTTAAGATTTACACTCCTCAGAGCTGGGCTTTACAGAAGAGTGGCCAGAAAAAAGCCATTGCTTAAAGAATAAAATAAGCAAACACGTTTGGTGTTCGCCAAATGGCATGTGGGAGACTCCCCAAACATATGGAAGAAGGTACTCTGGTCAGATGAGACTAAAATTGAGCTTTTTGGCCATCAAGGAAAACGCTATGTCTGGCGCAAACCCAACACCTCTCATCACCCCGAGAACACCATCCCCAAAGTGAAGCATGGTGGTGGCAGCGTCATGCTGTGGGAATGGCAGGGACTGGGAAACTGGTCAGAATTGAAGGAATGATCGATGCCGCTAAATACAGGGAAATTCTTGAGGGAAACCTGTTTCAGTCTTCCAGAGATTTGAGACTGGGACGGAGGTTCACCTTCCAGCAGGACAATAACCCTAAGCATACTGCTAAAGCAACACTCGAGTGGTTTAAGGGTAAACATTTAAATGTCTTGGAATGGCCTAGTCAAAGCCCAGACCTCAATCCAATTGAGAATCTGTGGTATGACTTAAAGATTGCTATACACCAGCGGAACCCATCCAACTTGAAGGAGCTGGAGCAGTTTTGCCTTGAAGAATGGGAAAAAATCCCAGTGGCTAGATGTGCCAAGCTTATAGAGACATACCCCAAGAGACTTGCAGCTGTAATTGCTGCAAAAGGTGGCTCTACAAAGTATTGACTTTGGGGGGCTGAATAGTTATGCACGCTCAAGTTTTCTGTTTATTTCTTGTTTGTTTCACAATAAAAAATATTTTGCATCTTCAAAGTGGTAGGCATGTTGTGTAAATCAAATAATACACACCCCCCTAAAAATCAATTTTAATTCTAGTTTGCTCATATATGAACTGATCAGAGCATGTTGCCAGCATGTTATGTAGCTTAACAAGTGGATTTGTCTCTTCCCTCTGATAGTAGCCTGTCCTACCCCCATGTGTATCCTTGTGTAGAGTCCAATCTTTGTAGCTACACATGTCCTCACAGCTGCTTTCCTTCGTATTCACCAGATCCAGGTGATCAAAGCGTTTGGTATTCTGAAGAGGGCTGCTGCGGAGGTGAACAAGGACTATGGACTGGACCCGAAGCTGGCTGAGGCCATCGTGCAGGCTGCTGATGAGGTGCCTAAAGCAGGGTGAACAGAACAAAACTAACAAAAACACCACAGGAGAGAGAGAGCAGGGGGTTGCATGACTCTCTCAACTTTGTGAGTTCACAGATTAGACATCAGCCCAGCCCCGGGTACCTGTCTGTTTCTGCTAACATTAGCCTACACTGCTGTAGAGAATAGCTTTTCATACAGTACTGAACACAAGCAGAGCACTAGACCTTGCTACCTAGCCTGGTCCCATACCTGTTTGTGCTGTTGGCAAGACGGCACAAACAGATCTGGGATCAAGCTATTCGCTAGCTACATTAGACCTACTAGTTACATTTATCCATGGTTCCCTCCTTGTACTAATGAATGCCTTGGTATTGATTAATGCTCAGGTGGTACTTGGTACTGGTCTTTAATGCTTTTGATACAATACTGAACAATTGAATGACCTAAATGTAACGTTATAGCCAGTGTTCGCCCCGTCCCAGATGGTCCTAAACATGGTGCAGCAATGACAATAGGAGTTGGCAAGACGGCACAGACAGATGCTGGACCAGGCTAAGGCATGTGGGCCTCAATGTACTAACGGATGTCCATGTCCCTTGGACCAGGCTAAGGCATGCAGGCCTCCCTGTACTGATGTCCATGTCCCTTGGACCAGGCTAAGGCATGCAGGCCTCCCTGTACTGATGTCCATGTTCCTTGGACCAGGCTAAGGCATGCAGGCCTCCCTGTACTGATGTCCATGTCCCTTTACCAGGCTAAGGCATGCAGGCCTCCCTGTACTGATGTCCATGTCCCTTTACCAGGCTAAGGCATGCGGGCCTCCCTGTACTGATGTCCATGTCCCTTGGACCAGGCTAAGGCATGCAGGCCTCCCTGTACTGATGTCCATGTCCCTTTACCAGGCTAAGGCATGCAGGCCTCCCTGTACTGATGTCCATGTCCCTTTACCAGGCTAAGGCATGCAGGCCTCCCTGTACTGATGTCCATGTCCCTTTACCAGGTGGCAGCTGGTAAGCTGGATGACCACTTCCCTCTGGTTGTGTGGCAGACCGGGTCAGGAACTCAGTCCAACATGAACGTCAACGAGGTGATCAGCAACAGGGCCATCGAGATCCTCGGAGGGAAGCTGGGGAGCAAGGACCCGGTGCACCCCAACGACCACGTCAACAAAAGCCAGGTAGGCTAACCGTTCAGAAACGCTCTTTCATTTCATTCGAAATGTTGAAGAAGGAAATAAACTGTTTTTCCACCACTACTGTGATTGACAAGATAAGAAGTAGCTAGTGACCATGTTTTATTTGGACCTTCAGAAGGGTAACAGATTGCAGTGTTTGCAGCAATTCGTTTTAAAGGTTTATTTATGATATCTGAAAAGCTCAGGCAAAGAGTTTAAATATCAATCAATCTGTATTTAATGTAAATTGTTGGGTCTTGCAGAGTATTTGAATGGACCTGTCCTCTACTCTTGCAGAGCTCCAACGATACGTTCCCCACAGCCATGCACATCGCAGCAGCCAAAGAGGTCCACGAGGTTCTGCTCCCCGGCCTACAACACCTCCACGATGCCCTGCACGCCAAGGCTGTGGAGTTCAAAGACATCATCAAGATCGGACGCACACACACACAGGATGCTGTGCCGTTGTCTCTGGGACAGGTAAAATACATAGACACACAGGATGCTGTGCCGTTGTCTCTGGGACAGGTAAAATACATAGACACACAGGATGCTGTGCCGTTGTCCCTGGGACAGGTACAGTACATAGACACACAGGATGCTGTGCCGTTGTCTCTGGGACAGGTACAGTACATAGACACACAGGATGCTGTGCCGTTGTCTCTAGGACAGGTACAGTACATAGACACACAGGATGCTGTGCCGTTGTCTCTAGGACAGGTAAAATACATAGAGACACAGGATGCTGTGCCGTTGTCTCTAGGACAGGTACAGTACATAGACACACAGGATGCTGTGCCGTTGTCTCTAGGACAGGTAAAATACATAGACACACAGGATGCTGTGCCGTTGTCCCTGGGACAGGTACAGTACATAGACACACAGGATGCTGTGCCGTTGTCTCTAGGACAGGTACAGTACATAGACACACAGGATGCTGTGCCGTTGTCCCTGGGACAGGTCACACACATCTCATAATGTCTTTATGTTGTAGGACGCAGTTTAACGCTCTCTAACTGAAGACACTATGTCTCTGATGATCATGATGTTGCTGATTGATTCATTTAGCTGTGGCCAGTGTCATGTTATGTCATGCTATAACCTCTGTGCCTCTCTCTGTGATATGTTGTTGTCACGATACCAGAATTTTGACTCCGATACCAGGTTCAGTATCATGATACTCGATACCAAAATGATAGCATGGCAAAGAAAGAAGCTTTTCGCTGTCAAAATCGCACTTTATTAAGTTTTGTAAAATAAATGTCCACTGGATTGATGCAAATAATCCTGACTCTGCCAGGTAGGCACAAGCTGCTTAGTAGTTAGCTTTTAATGGAGAAGGTTTTTGGGGAAAGCCTTTCCATCTACCAGCAGACGGTTATCATTAGCATGCTAACGGCTACACATTTACATTTAAGTAATTTAGCAGACGCTCTTATCCAGAGCCACTTACACATTGGTGCATTCACCTTATAGCCAGTGGGACAACCACCCTTTCATTTTATTTAATGGGGGGGTGGGTGAGGGAGGTAGAAGGAGACATACGCGAACCGTACACACAGACACAGAGGGGAATCCCCTTGCCGTTGCCTCTTGAGAAAGCTGCAGGGAATACGAATAACTGTTTATGGCTTATGAGAAACTTGGACAAATTAATACATTTCAATGCATTTAGTTGATTTCCAAACGTGAGACACATTTGATAGAAGAAACTAAAGTAACCAAATTCTTGTACTGAACCGTTTTTCATGTTGTATTGAAAAAGTAGCGCTGTTTCGGTGCAACACTAGTGTGATAACATATTAGGCTGCTAGATGTCAAACTGTCCTATATGAGCTATTTCAAATGTATTCCTACCAGTCAACTAACTGTCCTATATGAGCTATTTCAAATGTATTCCTACCAGTCAACTAACTGTCCTATATGAGCTATTTCAAATGTATTCCTACCAGTCAACTAACTGTCCTATATGAGCTATTTCAAATGTATTCCTAACAGTCAACTAACTGTCCTATATGAGCTATTTCAAATGTATTCCTAACAGTCAACTAACTGCCCTGTCTCTTTTGCGTTTTGCAGGAGTTCAGTGGGTACGTGCAGCAGGTAAAGTACAGTATGGAGCGAGTGAAGTCAGCCATGCCCAGAATATATGAGCTGGCAGCAGGGGGCACTGCAGTGGGAACAGGCCTCAACACACGCATCGGCTTCGCTGAGAAAGTAGCAGCTACTGTCGCTTCTCTCACAGGTACAGGAGGAAACACCCTGTTTCATAATGGTTATGATAGTCATGTCTGGTCCATGTTGTGTCCCCCAGGACTCTGTACTCTGTCCTCTTTAATGTCTCACTACTGGTGTCCCCCAGGGCTCGGTACTAGGTCCTCTTTAATGTCTCACTACTGGTGTCCCCCAGGGCTCTGTACTAGGTCCTCTTTAATGTCTCACTACTGGTGTCCTCCAGGGCTCGGTACTAGGTCCTCTTTAATGTCTCACTACTGGTGTCCTCCAGGGCTCTGTACTAGGTCCTCTTTAATGTCTCACTACTGGTGTCCCCCAAGGCTCTGTACTAGGTCCTCTTTAATGTCTCACTACTGGTGTCCCCCAGGGATCGGTACTAGGTCCTCTTTAATGTCTCACTACTGGTGTCCCCCAGGGCTCTGTACTAGGTCCTCTTTAATGTCTCACTACTGGTGTCCACCAGGGCTCGGTACTAGGTCCTCTTTAATGTCTCACTACTGGTGTCCCCCAGGGCTCGGTACTAGGTCCTCTTTAATGTCTCACTACTGGTGTCCCCCAGGGCTCGGTACTAGGTCCTCTTTAATGTCTCACTACTGGTGTCCCCCAGGGCTCTGTACTAGGTCCTCTTTAATGTCTCACTACTGGTGTCCTCCAGGGCTCTGTACTCTGTCCTCTTTAATGTCTCACTACTGGTGTCCCCCAGGGCTCTGTACTAGGTCCTCTTTAATGTCTCACTACTGGTGTCCCACAGGGCTCTGCACTCTGTCCTCTTTAATGTCTCACTACTGGTGTCCTCCAGGACTCTGTACTAGGTCCTCTTTAATGTCTCACTACTGGTGTCCCCCAGGGCTCTGTACTAGGTCCTCTTTAATGTCTCACTACTGGTGTCCTCCAGGGCTCGGTACTAGGTCCTCTTTAATGTCTCACTACTGGTGTCCCCCAGGGCTCTGCACTAGGTCCTCTTTAATGTCTCACTACTGGTGTCCCCCAGGACTCTGTACTCTGTCCTCTTTAATGTCTCACTACTGGTGTCCCCCAGGGCTCTGTACTAGGTCCTCTCCTGTTTTCTCTGTACACCAAGTCACTTGGTTGTGTCAGAGGGTTCGAATTGTGTTGTTGTGGCTACAGTTCTCCCTCCCAGCTGTTATCATAAGTCATACATTACATACACTGTCAGCCTTTAATTTTCTATTGTTATCAAGACCTGTCTACATGATGTCATAACCTGTCTCCAGGTCTGCCTTTCGTGACGGCTCCCAACAAGTTTGAGGCTCTGGCGGCCCACGATGCTCTGGTGGAGCTGAGCGGAGCGTTGAACACGGTGGCCGTCAGTATGATGAAGATCGCCAATGATATCCGCTTCCTGGGGTCCGGGCCCCGCTCTGGCCTGGGAGAACTCTGTCTGCCTGAGAACGAGCCAGGTAGCAGCATCATGCCTGGTGAGTAGGTTAGGGGTTAGGGGTTAGGGTTAGGGGTTAGGGGTTAGGGGTTAGGGTTAGGGGTTAGGGGTTAGGGGTTAGGGGTTAGGGTTAGGGGTTAGGGGTTAGGGTTAGGGGTTAGGGGTTAGGGTTAGGGGTTAGGGTTAGGGGTTAGGGGTTAGGGGTTAGGGTTTGGGCCCGACTCTGGCCTGGGAGAACTCTGTCTGCCTGAGAACGAGCCTGGTAGCACCATCATGCCTGGTGAGTAGGTTAGGGGTTAGGGGTTAGGGGTTAGGGTTAGGGGTTAGGGTTAGGGGTTAGGGTTAGGGGTTAGGGTTAGGGGTTAGGGGTTAGGGTTAGGGTTAGGGTTAGGGTTAGGGGTTAGGGGTTAGGGTTAGGGTTTGGGCCCGACTCTGGCCTGGGAGAACTCTGTCTGCCTGAGAACGAGCCTGGTAGCACCATCATGCCTGGTGAGTAGGTTAGGGGTTAGGGGTTAGGGTTAGGGGTTAGGGGTTAGGGTTTGGGGTTAGGGGTTAGGGTTAGGGGTTAGGGGTTAGGGGTTAGGGTTTGGGCCCGACTCTGGCCTGGGAGAACTCTGTCTGCCTGAGAACGAGCCTGGTAGCACCATCATGCCTGGTGAGTAGGTTAGGGGTTAGGGGTTAGGGGTTAGGGTTAGGGTTAGGGGTTAGGGGTTAGGGTTAGGGGTTAGGGGTTAGGGTAGGGTTAGGGGTTAGGGTTAGGGGTTAGGGTTAGGGGTTAGGGTTAGGGGTTAGGGTTAGGGGTTAGGGGTTAGGGGTTAGGGTTTGGGCCCGACTCTGGCCTGGGAGAACTCTGTCTGCCTGAGAAGGGTTAGGGTTAGGGTTAGGGGTTAGGGGTTAGGGTTAGGGGTTAGGGGTTAGGGGTTAGGGTTAGGGGTTAGGGGTTAGGGGTTAGGGTTAGGGGTTAGGGTTAGGGGTTAGGGTTTGGGCCCGACTCTGGCCTGGGAGAACTCTGTCTGCCTGAGAAGGGTTAGGGTTAGGGTTAGGGTTAGGGTTAGGGGTTAGGGGTTAGGGTTAGGGGTTAGGGGTTAGGGTTAGGGGTTAGGGGTTAGGGTTTGGGCCCCGCTCTGGCCTGGGAGAACTCTGTCTGCCTGAGAAGGGTTAGGGTTAGGGTTAGGGGTTAGGGTTAGGGGTTAGGGGTTAGGGGTTAGGGTTAGGGGTTAGGGGTTAGGGTTAGGGTTAGGGGTTAGGGGTTAGGGTTAGGGGTTAGGGTTTGGGCCCCGACTCTGGCCTGGGAGAACTCTGTCTGCCTGAGAACGAGCCTGGTAGCACCATCATGCCTGGTGAGTTTCCATAGTCTGGTTTTCACCATAGTTGTCAAGCATAACACAATATAGTTCACTGTCAGTAGGAAAGGAGTGAAGGAGATCTCTGAAAGAGTGAACAGTATTTGGACATGCCGTAGAAGGCATAGTACCCAAGTTATTGTGTTCTTCTAGCTACAGTGGGGAGAACAAGTATTTGATACACTGCCGATTTTGCAGGTTTTCCTACTTACAAAGAATGTAGAGGTCTGTAATTTTTATCATAGGTACACTTCAACTGTGAGAGACGGAATCTAAAACAAAAATCCAGAAAATCACATTGTATGATTTTTAAGTAATTCATATGCATTTTTTTTATTTATTTTTTAAATCGGCATTGTATCAAATACTTGTTCTCCCCACTGTATGTGTCCCAGTGGTTTTGCATTAGCTAAGTGGAACAGAGCTGCATGATCCCACGTAACTCCCAGCTGTTCTGAATCATCCATCTAGGCTGGGTCAGGTTTCAGGGCTTATTTCTGTCCAGGCCTTTTCTTCTTCCTGCTCCTTGACCTCTACTTCAGCAAGACATGGTATAGAGACTATCTAGCTACCCACAACCTGCCTTTTATTCAGGGACCTGCAACAATAACATGTTGACGTACTTCTGGCTGTTTTGAAAGGGTAAGGAACCTATGCTCATGACAGGAAGTGATCGTGCTCGTGGAATTATTACACACGTTTCTACTGAAGACAGACTTGACATTCTTGAGAGCCTTGAAAGTTGTGCTGTGCTGTCCAGTGTTTACCCTCCCATCAGAAGTAGTGTTGTTGACCTCTGCACAGCTCTATTGTTGTGGGATTTCAAACCGGTTGGGATTTGAGCTGGTGTGTAATGTCCTACCTTGGAATGTTGACTTATATGTGTGTGTGTTTTAACCATGGGGTTTTAACTAAGATGTGTTTTAACCATGGGGTTTTAACTAAGATGTGTTTTAACCATGGGGTTTTAACTAAGATGTGTTTTAACCATGGGGTTTTAACTAAGATGTGTTTTAACCATGGGGTTTTAACTAAGATGTGTTTTAACCATGGGGTTTTAACCATGGGGTTTTAACTAAGATGGGTTTTAACCATGGGGTTTTAACTAAGATGTATTTGAACGTATGTCTTCCAGGGAAAGTTAACCCCACCCAGTGCGAGGCCATGACCATGGTAGCAGCCCAGGTTATGGGAAACAACGTGGCTGTGACCATCGGAGGCAGCAACGGACACTTTGAGCTTAACGTCTTCAAGCCAATGATGGTAAGAACTGATATTACCATCAACTAAGACAATACTAATAGGCCAGTTTTGCCATCGATAAAATGCAATTGTGTTCGTTGTCCGTAGCTTATGCCTGCCCATACCATAACCCCACCGCCACCATGGGGCACTCTGTTCACAACGTTGACATCAGCAAACGCTCGCCCACACAACTCTATACACGCTGTCTGCCATCTGCCCGGTACAGTTGAAACCGGGATTCATCCGTGATGAGCACACTTCTCCAGTGTGCCAGTGGCCATCGAAGGTGAGACTTTGCCCGCTGAAGTCGGTTAAGACGCCAAACTGCAGTCAGGTCCAAGACCCTGGTGAGGACGACGAGCACATAGACGGTTTCAGAACAGCGACTACTCACCTTGAACTGGACAAATAATTGTTCTTTAATGAGTCGGACGAGAGGGATTTGCTCCAGACACCCGACAGGGCCCTCATCCCCGTCATTCGCAGTAGAAAGGAAAGGAGATATCGCGGAAGGAGATCGGGGTGCTTGGTAAGGAGCCAGCGACGAGTGGCTAATCTGTCTTTGCCATCGATACTATTGGCCAACTTACAATCGTATATCCTACCAACGGGACATTAAAAACTGTAATATCTTATGTTTCACCGAGTCATGGCTGAACGAAGACATGAATAACATACAGCTGGTGGGTTATACACTGTATCGGCAGGATAGAACAGCAGCCTCTGGTAAAACAAGGGGTGGCGGTCTATGTATATTTGTAAACAACAGCTGGTGCACGAAATCCAATATTAAAGGAAGTCTCAAAGGTTTCGCTCGCCTGAGGTAGAGTATCTCATGATAAGCTGTAGACCACACTATCTACCAAGAGAGTTTACATCTATATTCTTCGTAGCTGTCTATTTACCACCACAAACCGAGGCTGGCACGAAGACCGCACTGAATGAGCTGTATAAGGCCATAAGTCAACAGGAAAACGCTCATCCAGAGGCGGCGCTCCTAGTGGCCGGGGACTTTAATGCAGGGAAACTTAAATCCGTTCTACCTAATTTCTACCAGCATGTTAAATGTGCAACCAGAGGAAAAACAACTCTAGACCACCTTTACTCCACACACAGAGACGCATACAAATCTCTCTCTCGCCCTCCATTTGGAAAATCTGACCATAACTCTATCCTCCTGATTCCTGCTTATAAGCAAAAACTAAAGCAGGAAGCACCAGTGACTCGGTTACCAGCATGTTAAATGTGCAACCAGAGAGCATCCTGACCGGTTGCATCACCGCCTGGTATGGCGGGCCCCCGAAGGCACTACAGAGGGTAGTGGTATGGCCCAGTACATCACTGGGGCAAAGCTTCCTGCCATCCAGGACCTCTATACCAGGCGGTGACAGAGGAAGGCCCTCAAAATTATCAAAGACTCCAGCCACCCTAGTCATATACTGTTCTCTGCTACCGCGCGGTACCGGAGCGCCAAGTCTAAGTCCAAAAGGCTCCTTAACAGCTTCTACCCCCAAGCTATAAGACTCCTGAACATCTAATCAAATGGCTACCCAGACTATTTGCACTGCCCCCCCCCCCTCCTCTTTTACGCTGCTGCTACTCTGTTTATTATCTATGCATAGTCACTTTAACTCTACCTACATGTACATATTACCTCAATTACCTCGACCAACCGGTGCCCCCGCACATTGACTCTGTACCGGTACCCCCCTGTATATAGCCTCCCTACTGTTATTTTACTGCTGCTCTTTAATTATTTGTTACTTTTATTTCGTATTTTATTTTGTATATGTTTTTTGTGATTTGTAATGCCAAAAAAATTGGCTTGTCAGTCAGCATTTCTCTAAGGTATACCTACACCTGCTGTATTCAGCGCACGTGACACATTTACATTTGATTTATACTTTTACTCAAGTATGACAATTGGGTATTTTTCCCAGCACTGGTATAAAACAATGATTAGATGGGAGAGGCGGGACTTGACTGAGATGCTTCCTCCCCTGTCAGTGGTTAACAGGAGACTTGCAGCGTATAAAATATAACCATTTTAGCTGAGGGTTCCGCAGACACCTGCAGGCAGTTTGGATGAAATGAGATTGAATCAGTGAGTAAATGTATTTTGCAACACATCCTGTTTGGTCAGCAAGTAGGTGGTTGTCGGGAAGCCTGGTCCCAGATCTGTTCCCAAGACCGCACAAACAGATCTGGAACCAGGCTAGTTGGCCGGTAGTTGGGTCATAATCGTAACTCCTGCTCTCTCCCGTCCTCACAGATTAAAATGGTGTTGAACTCAGCCAGGCTGCTGGGGGACGCCTCAGTCATACTTTAACTCGTCCTCTCTCCTCCTCCCAGATAAAGAACGTGTTGAACTCAGCCAGGCTGCTGGGGGACGCCTCAGTCATACTTTAACTCGTCCTCTCTCCTCCTCCCAGATAAAGAACGTGTTGAACTCAGCCAGGCTGCTGGGGGACGCCTCAGTCATACTTTAACTCGTCCTCTCTCCTCCTCCCAGATAAAGAACGTGTTGAACTCAGCCAGGCTGCTCGGGGACGCCTCAGTCTCCTTCACTGATAACTGTGTGGTGGGCATTGAAGCTAACATCGACAGGATCAACAAACTCATGAACGAGTCCTTGATGCTGGTCACCGCCCTCAACCCACACATAGGTATGTGTTGTAGCACTGAATCTGCTTCAAAGGTTTTTTTATTTTTTTTATTTAACCTTTATTTAACTAGGCAAGTCCGTTAAGAACAAATTCTGATTTACAATGACGGCCTACACCGGCCAAACCCGGACGACGCTGGGCCAATTGTGCGCCGCCCCCCGTATGGACATACAGGGACCTGCAAGTGCAGGGTACAAGAAGTCAAGTCATGAAAGAGATCTAGATACCTGCACACTGTTGTGCAGAATACAACTGCAGGAGAAATCAACAGGTTATCGATCTGTCTTTCGCTTGTAACCACATCTAACCACTAGAGGGCAGTAACTTACAGTCCCAAATTCAGCAGTGCTGACATTCACCAGACTGTAATGTGAGGATTGGAAAGGAGATGTTTTGCTCTACAGCACAGTGAGTCTGTTTAAACCCTTCACTGCTTCTACACAATCCATCAACTAACATTGACTTGGGCATTAAAACACTGATGGCAGCAGCCAGTCAGTGCTTTTAGAGAACACTAAATAAATGTCAGTGTTCAGTGTTGTGATAAATGGTGTTGTGGATTCATTACATTTACATCATCACCTTAATTCATCATAGTTCCAGCTCAGTGCCTTTGGTAAGGAGGGCCAAGGTGTCTGAAATGTCACCCTATTCCCTACGTAGTGCTCTACTTTTGACCTGCCCAGTGAGATCCCCCCCCCCCCCGTCCCGTCCTGTCCCGTCAGTCACAGTGGTTAACAGGAGTTAGTGAGATCCCCCCCCCCCTCCCCCGTCAGTCACAGTGGTTAACAGGAGTTAGTGAGATCCCCCCTCCCCCCCCCCCCCCCGTCAGTCACAGTGGTTAACAGGAGTTAGTGAGATCCCCCCCCCCCCCCCCCCCCCCCCCCCCCCTCCCCCGTCAGTCACAGTGGTTAACAGGAGTTGGTGAGATCCCCCCCCCCTCCCCCGTCAGTCACAGTGGTTAACAGGAGTTGGTGAGATCCCCCCCCACCCCCCTCCCCCGTCAGTCACAGTGGTTAACAGGAGTTGGTGAGATCCCCCCCCCCCCCCCGTCAGTCACAGTGGTTAACAGGAGTTAGTGAGATCCTCCCCCCCGTCCCCGTCCCCCGTCCTGTCAGTCACAGTGGTTAACAGGAGTTAGTGAGATCCTCCGTCCGTCACAGTGGTTAACAGGAGTTAGTGAGATCCTCCGTCCGTCCGTCAGTCACAGTGGTTAACAGGAGCTAGTGAGATCCCCCCCGTCAGTCACAGTGGTTAACAGGAGTTAGTGAGATCGTCCCGTCCCGTCAGTCACAGTGGTTAACAGGAGTTAGTGAGATCCTGCCCGTCCCCCCCCATCAGTCACAGTGGTTAACAGGAGTTGGCATTAACATTTTTGACATGCGTTTTTCTGTATTTTTTTGTTGTTATTCTGTCTCTCACTGTTCTAATAAACCTACCATTAAAATTATAGACCGATCATTTCTTTGTCAGTGGGCAAACGTACAAAATCAGCAGGGTGATCAAATACTTTTTTCCCCTCACTGTAGTTGAGGAAGTAGAAGGTGGTGGTTTGTCATCGGTCTGAATTGAATCCCTTCCCTCTATCTTCTCAATAGGTTACGACAAAGCTGCTAAGATTGCCAAGACAGCCCACAAAGAGGGAGGAAACCTCAAGGAAACTGCTATCAAGCTAGGATACCTGACAGCAGAAGAGTTTGACGCGTGGGTCAAGCCACATGAGATGCTGGGACCCAAGTAGAACACAACACGCTGCAGAATGTCTATGGTTAGAAATGTCTTTGTACAAATAAAAATCTTTTTTTTGGGGTTGAAACACATTGCTGTATTTTATTTGACCAGTTTAAGTTGCTGAGAACACGTCCTCATTTACAGCAACGACCTGGGGAAGAGTTCCAGGGGAGAGGAGGGGGATGGATGAGCCAATTGGAAGCTGTTCCACAGACCTGATCTATGGACAGATGACTGCTGATCGGGGGGGGACACACACTTCGCAGAAGTGACTAGCTTTCACTTTTGAGTATTTTTTTCCACATTGGACCTCAGTTAACTATTTTCAGTGAAGGCCAGTGGATGTTACGGTAAAAATTGTTGCTTTCTCATCTAACTATTTTGAGACTGTCACCAAGGATACATGGTATCCTTCAGAAAGATGTTCAGCTATTATCTTTATCTATATTTAATGACTTCCCTTGCATTTCCAGGAATATGACATTCACGATTCTGAGAAAGATGATGTGCCATTAGATCAAGGAAGAGTATATTTTAAATCGTTTTTGTGAAATCTTCAGTATGACATTTTGTCCACCTGTAATAATTGACCTACCGCTAGTTTGGGACTCCAACCCACGCACACCCCAGGCCAAGTCACCTTGCCTCCCGATGAAAGTGATTGTTCTGGGGACAGGACAGTTGGGCAACACCAGCTCTACCAGAGAGCCAAGGGACAGTTGCATGTTGCCTGAAGGTGTTTTGTTTTGCCGAAGGACGCTACAATTGAAGGCTCTTACAGAGCTATACCTTGATGTACTGTACCCTTTTTGCCATGTAAAAATAAATTTAAAAAAATACAATAATTAATCATGTTGCCTCAAACCCTGCTTTCTGAGTTTGTATTCATCCAAACTGATTTAAAATAAGCCATCTACTCAGTCTTCAACCGTCGTATCCTAAACCCTTAGAGGCTTCACAGTCAACCTCTATGACATGAAGCGTTGCCATTTCCAGCCCAACCTTTAGAAGAGGCTTCACAGTCAACCTCTATGACATGAAGCGTTGCCATTTCCAGCCCAACCTTTAGAAGAGGCTTCACAGTCAACATCTATGACATGAAGCGTTGCCATTTCCAGCCCAACCTTTAGAAGAGGCTTCACAGTCAACATCTATGACATGAAGCGTTGCCCTTTCCAGCCCAACCTTTAGAAGAGGCTTCACAGTCAACATCTATGACATGAAGCGTTGCCATTTCCAGCCCAACCTTTAGAAGAGGCTTCACAGTCAACATCTATGACATGAAGCGTTTGCCATTTCCAGCCCAACCTTTAGAAGAGGCTTCACAGTCAACATCTATGACATGAAGCGTTGCCCTTTCCAGCCCAACCTTTAGAAGAGGCTTCACAGTCAACATCTATGACATGAAGCGTTGCCATTTCCAGCCCAACCTTTAGAAGAGGCTTCACAGTCAACATCTATGACATGAAGCGTTGCCATTTCCAGCCCAACCTTTAGAAGAGGCTTCACAGTCAACATCTATGACATGAAGCGTTGCCATTTCCAGCCCAACCTTTAGAAGAGGCTTCACAGTCAACATCTATGACATGAAGCGTTGCCATTTCCAGCCCAACCTTTAGAAGAGGCTTCACAGTCAACATCTATGACATGAAGCGTTGCCATTTCCAGCCCAACCTTTAGAAGAGGCTTCACAGTCAACATCTATGACATGAAGCGTTGCCCTTTCCAGCCCAACCTTTAGAAGAGGCTTCACAGTCAACATCTATGACATGAAGCGTTGCCATTTCCAGCCCAACCTTTAGAAGAGGCTTCACAGTCAACATCTATGACATGAAGCGTTGCCATTTCCAGCCCAACCTTTAGAAGAGGCTTCACAGTCAACATCTATGACATGAAGCGTTGCCATTTCCAGCCCAACCTTTAGAAGAGGCTTCACAGTCAACATCTATGACATGAAGCGTTGCCCTTTCCAGCCCAACCTTTAGAAGAGGCTTCACAGTCAACATCTATGACATGAAGCGTTGCCATTTCCAGCCCAACCTTTAGAAGAGGCTTCACAGTCAACATCTATGACATGAAGCGTTGCCATTTCCAGCCCAACCTTTAGAAGAGGCTTCACAGTCAACATCTATGACATGAAGCGTTGCCATTTCCAGCCCAACCTTTAGAAGAGGCTTCACAGTCAACATCTATGACATGAAGCGTTGCCATTTCCAGCCCAACCTTTAGAAGAGGCTTCACAGTCAACATCTATGACATGAAGCGTTGCCATTTCCAGCCCAACCTTTAGAAGAGGCTTCACAGTCAACATCTATGACATGAAGCGTTGCCATTTCCAGCCCAACCTTTAGAAGAGGCTTCACAGTCAACATCTATGACATGAAGCGTTGCCATTTCCAGCCCAACCTTTAGAAGAGGCTTCACAGTCAACATCTATGACATGAAGCGTTGCCATTTCCAGCCCAACCTTTAGAAGAGGCTTCACAGTCAACATCTATGACATGAAGCGTTGCCATTTCCAGCCCAACCTTTAGAAGAGGCTTCACAGTCAACATCTATGACATGAAGCGTTGCCATTTCCAGCCCAACCTTTAGAAGAGGCTTCACAGTCAACATCTATGACATGAAGCGTTGCCCTTTCCAGCCCAACCTTTAGAAGAGGCTTCACAGTCAACATCTATGACATGAAGCGTTGCCATTTCCAGCCCAACCTTTAGAAGAGGCTTCACAGTCAACATCTATGACATGAAGCGTTGCCATTTCCAGCCCAACCTTTAGAAGAGGCTTCACAGTCAACATCTATGACATGAAGCGTTGCCATTTCCAGCCCAACCTTTAGAAGAGGCTTCACAGTCAACATCTATGACATGAAGCGTTGCCATTTCCAGCCCAACCTTTAGAAGAGGCTTCACAGTCAACATCTATGACATGAAGCGTTGCCATTTCCAGCCCAACCTTTAGAAGAGGCTTCACAGTCAACATCTATGACATGAAGCGTTGCCCTTTCCAGCCCAACCTTTAGAAGAGGCTTCACAGTCAACATCTATGACATGAAGCGTTGCCATTTCCAGCCCAACCTTTAGAAGAGGCTTCACAGTCAACATCTATGACATGAAGCGTTGCCATTTCCAGCCCAACCTTTAGAAGAGGCTTCACAGTCAACATCTATGACATGAAGCGTTGCCCTTTCCAGCCCAACCTTTAGAAGAGGCTTCACAGTCAACATCTATGACATGAAGCGTTGCCCTTTCCAGCCCAACCTTTAGAAGAGGCTTCACAGTCAACATCTATGACATGAAGCGTTGCCATTTCCAGCCCAACCTTTAGAAGAGGCTTCACAGTCAACATCTATGACATGAAGCGTTGCCATTTCCAGCCCAACCTTTAGAAGAGGCTTCACAGTCAACATCTATGACATGAAGCGTTGCCCTTTCCAGCCCAACCTTTAGAAGAGGCTTCACAGTCAACATCTATGACATGAAGCGTTGCCCTTTCCAGCCCAACCTTTAGAAGAGGCTTCACAGTCAACATCTATGACATGAAGCGTTGCCCTTTCCAGCCCAACCTTTAGAAGAGGCTTCACAGTCAACATCTATGACATGAAGCGTTGCCATTTCCAGCCCAACCTTTAGAAGAGGCTTCACAGTCAACATCTATGACATGAAGCGTTGCCATTTCCAGCCCAACCTTTAGAAGAGGCTTCACAGTCAACATCTATGACATGAAGCGTTGCCCTTTCCAGCCCAACCTTTAGAAGAGGCTTCACAGTCAACATCTATGACATGAAGCGTTGCCCTTTCCAGCCCAACCTTTAGAAGAGGCTTCACAGTCAACATCTATGACATGAAGCGTTGCCATTTCCAGCCCAACCTTTAGAAGAGGCTTCACAGTCAACATCTATGACATGAAGCGTTGCCCTTTCCAGCCCAACCTTTAGAAGAGGCTTCACAGTCAACATCTATGACATGAAGCGTTGCCCTTTCCAGCCCAACCTTTAGAAGAGGCTTCACAGTCAACATCTATGACATGAAGCGTTGCCCTTTCCAGCCCAACCTTTAGAAGAGGCTTCACAGTCAACATCTATGACATGAAGCGTTGCCATTTCCAGCCCAACCTTTAGAAGAGGCTTCACAGTCAACATCTATGACATGAAGCGTTGCCATTTCCAGCCCAACCTTTAGAAGAGGCTTCACAGTCAACATCTATGACATGAAGCGTTGCCCTTTCCAGCCCAACCTTTAGAAGAGGCTTCACAGTCAACATCTATGACATGAAGCGTTGCCCTTTCCAGCCCAACCTTTAGAAGAGGCTTCACAGTCAACATCTATGACATGAAGCGTTGCCCTTTCCAGCCCAACCTTTAGAAGAGGCTTCACAGTCAACATCTATGACATGAAGCGTTGCCCTTTCCAGCCCAACCTTTAGAAGAGGCTTCACAGTCAACATCTATGACATGAAGCGTTGCCCTTTCCAGCCCAACCTTTAGAAGAGGCTTCACAGTCATCATCTAAGACATGAAGCGTTGCCCTTTCCAGCCCAACCTTTAGAAGAGGCTTCACAGTCAACATCTATGACATGAAGCGTTGCCCTTTCCAGCCCAACCTTTAGAAGAGGCTTCACAGTCAACATCTATGACATGAAGCGTTGCCCTTTCCAGCCCAACCTTTAGAAGAGGCTTCACAGTCAACATCTATGACATGAAGCGTTGCCCTTTCCAGCCCAACCTTTAGAAGAGGCTTCACAGTCAACCTCTAAGACATGAAGCGTTGCCCTTTCCAGCCCAACCTTTAGAAGAGGCTTCACAGTCAACCTCTAAGACATGAAGCGTTGCCCTTTCCAGCCCAATCCGCCCTGCGCTGCTCTGGTATCAGTCACAGCTCTGCCTGTCCTGAATCCCCGGCCCTGGTTGCTGTAGGCCAGTGTTTCCCTGGTCCTCCTGTGTTTCCCTGGTCCCCCTGTGTTTCCCTGGTCCCCCTGTGTTTCCCTGGTCCCCCTGTGTTTCCCTGGTCCCCCTGTGTTTCCCTGGTCCTCCAGTGTTTCCCTGGTCCCCCTGTGTTTCCCTGGTCCTCCAGTGTTTCCCTGGTCCCCCTGTGTTTCCCTGGTCCTCCAGTGTTTCCCTGGTCCCCCTGTGTTTCCCTGGTCCTCCTGTGTTTCCCTGGTCCTCCTGTATTTCCCTGGTCCCCCTGTGTTTCCCTGGTCCTCCTGTGTTTCCCTGGTCCCCCTGTGTTTCCCTGGTCCTCCTGTGTTTCCCTGGTCCTCCAGTGTTTCCCTGGTCCTCCTGTGTTTCCCTGGTCCTCCTGTATTTCCCTGGTCCCCCTGTGTTTCCCTGGTCCTCCTGTGTTTCCCTGGTCCCCCTGTGTTTCCCTGGTCCCCCTGTGTTTCCCTGGTCCCCCTGTGTTTCCCTGGTCCCCCTGTGTTTCCCTGGTCCTCCAGTGTTTCCCTGGTCCTCCAGTGTTTCCCTGGTCCCCCTGTGTTTCCCTGTGTTTCCCTGGTCCCCCTGTGTTTCCCTGGTCCCCCTGTGTTTCCCTGGTCCTCCTGTGTTTCCCTGGTCCCCCAGTGTTTCCCTGGTCCCCCAGTGTTTCCCTGGTCCCCCAGTGTTTCCCTGGTCCTCCTGTGTTTCCCTGGTCCTCCTGTGTTTCCCTGGTCCCCCAGTGTTTCCCTGGTCCCCCAGTGTTTCCCTGGTCCCCCTGTGTTTCCCTGGTCCTCCTGTGTTTCCCTGGTCCTCCTGTGTTTCCCTGGTCCCCCTGTGTTTCCCTGGTCCTCCTGTGTTTCCCTGGTTCTCCAGTGTTTCCCTGGTCCTCCAGTGTTTCCCTGGTCCCCCTGTGTTTCCCTGGTTTCCCTGGTCCTCCAGTACCCCCAACAGT